TGATACTACTCCTAGCTAGCGCTTTGGAATTCACCCAGAGTACCCTTGACAGCCCTTGAGAAGTCAGCAATGCTATTCCTAGGTAGCGCTTGAAAAGTTATCCCAAGTGCCCCTACGATAGTCACTCAGAAGTCAGTAATGATACCCCTAGATAGCGCTTGTAAAGCTACGTAGAGTATCACATGACAGTCCTTGAGAATTCAGTAACGGTACCCGTGCATAGCGCTAGAAAAGTTACGTAGAGTATCCCTTAGCAGTCCTGCAGTAGTCAGTTATGGTACCCCTAGAGAGCACTTGAAAAGTTACCCCAAGTACCCCTTGGCAGTCCTTCAACAGTTAATAATGGTACCCCCAGATACCGCTTGAAAAGTTACCTGGAGTATCCATTGGCACTCCTTCAGAAGTCAGCGATGGCATCCCTACGTAGCGCTGGAGAAGTTATCCCAAGTACCCCTAGAGAGATCCTGAAAAGTTACAAAGACTACCACCTGGTAACTATAAAAAGTTAAAGATACTATGTCAAGACAGTAATCTAGAAGCGACACTAGGGGTTGTGCATTAGCATTAGTGTTAGTATTAAATTAATGCTAACACCAATATTCTTGTTTTCCGTTCCTAAGAAAAAGTATTTGAATTTGTATTGATTAATTTAAGGTTAGACGCAGCCAGCAGCCCTGATTAATTCTAATACTTTTACGTTACAATTTTAATATAAAAGTATTGTAGCTGATATAAATTAATACTATTATAAGCATTAACTTATTATTAATGTCGGCGCCAGAATGAAAGAGGGGTGGATATAAATTTAATAATTCAACAACGGCAAGAGCTACCGAACTGCGGTTTTCACCAATCGAAAGAAGAGGAGTGGGCACGTCTTTTTTTCTGATAATGTATAAGACGAAATCCTTTTAAAACTAAACATATTCGAAAAACCTGAAAAAAGAACCCATGAAATGACCTGGCAGCTAGATGAAATTTTAATTTTGACCTTTGATTTAGACAGAGAGACTTCAGATCTATAGCTCAAAATACAATACAAATCGTTGTCTTATTATATTCTAACGCTGAGCAAATGGGATCATGCACTTACATGCGCAAATAATAGGGCATTTTGCTGATTTTTTCGCAATTTTCCCGCTATTTATCCTAGTAGCTTGAGATTTTGATGGAAATGTAAGAAAAAGTAAGAAAGCGCATTGTGTCTTGAACTATAGATTTTGAAGTCCCTCTATCTAAATAAAAGGTCAAAATTAAAATTTCATGTAGCTGCCAGGTCATTTCATGGATTCTTTTTTAGGTTTTTCGAGTATGATTAGCTTTAAAAGGATTTCGTCTTATACATTATCAGAGAAAAAGACGTGCTTACTCCTCTTCTTTCGATTGGTGAAAACCGCAGCTCAGTAGCTCTTGCCGTTGTTGAGTTATTCAATTTATATTCACCCCTCTTTCATTCTGGCGCCGACATTAGTTCTCGTTAATTATCTTTGTGATAGGTGAGTCAACCTTCTTGTTTCTTTATGTTTTATATACCATTTTGTAGCTCTTGAAATTCTCTATCGAATGGTATATAATAGTGGGGCTTTTAGTAAACTATGATAGGAAAAGTTGTTTACGAAAGCGGGAATCGGTCGATCTTTCCATAGGGAAGGTATAGGGAAAATGAGTATTTTTGCAATAACTCAGGAAGGGCTCGCCCAGTCCTTCTCATCTTCGAACTCGACCGAGATATTGTCAAGACTGAATTGTGTAGAAAATTTCATCGTGATCTGACTCCTTTTAAAAGTTATCGTGTAAACGGACGGACGCCCGGCCGGCCGGCTGGACGGACAAACTGACCGATTCTAGTGTGTACTCACTTTTTGAGTACACAAAAAGAGTCAAATCTTATGAGAAAGTATGTTAACTTAAAGGATTATTTAGTCTCGAGTTTAAAATGGTATGAGTCAATTTAAGTTGCGTAAATGGAATGCCTTTATTGATAATTCGATCGTATCTGGAAAGAAATCTGTTGAATCAAATAGTAACACAAATAGGATCTCATGTCTGTTACTGTGATTATATCTATTATTAGCTCCTTATTGTAACCATATAAAAGGTTTTGACGAAAAGTCAGATTAAAATCAAGTTTTTGATTAACAATCGAATAGTCATTTATGCAATTTTAACAATCGATTAAAATAAATTAAAAATAATTATTATGAAATGCAATCCATCATTTAGATTCAGATATCATATTAAAATCAAATAAAAAATAGTGTCATTGTAATCTATTAAAATTCTATTATTAATCGAAAAATCGGTTTTAATCTGACTTTTCGTCAAAATTTTTTTAATGAGTTTCACATAGAACAACTTGGATTTCTTAGATCTCTGGTATTATAGCTCAGTTCATGTACGTGCAGTTCACCCTGCAAATTCAATTTCAGATAGAAGAATTTGTCAAATTAGATCTTGAGAAAAATTATGTCTAGCTGATGTGCACTGAGCAAACCAAAATCCACTTTCGCAGTCTTTTTTTACCAGTGTATTCAAGAGATACTGCTAATTAAACATTTTAGTTTCAATCTTACACAAATCTGCCTTAATTGAGAGACCCCATACCACAATATTCAGCATACTGTTTCTAGAGTGATCATTTTCCACACTTAATACAAAACCGTAGAAAAATCTTCATGTGGACAGAAAATTTTTTAAACGAAATCAGAAATTAACAATTGATAATTTGTTGATTTATTGATAAAAATCTATAGAATGTATATGTGAAGAGAATTTTTCAAGGCAAGGGGGGACGGTGTCGATCTCAGATTCTTTTATGAAAACTTGTACTATTTTTGATAGATTTGAAAAAAGTGCTTCAAAGCTCGGTTCTTCTAGTAGTGAAGTTCTGATTTTGCCACTATATCTAAGAAAAGTAGTTCGTCGTCGTGAACGACTGTGCAAGGACACTACAATAAAAAAACGATGATCTTAGATCACATCGTTTACAACTGGCGCTCACAATATCTTATGGTATAATCCGAGTGTCATTTACAGTCGCCGTATTATTACAGTAATCGTAAACGGCTAACGTTTACGGTCATTGTTTAGGATGAGCGTAACACACTGTAAAGCATCGTATATGATTGCCGTGAACGGTCACTGTAAACGACTGTCGTTTGCGATATCGTACGATGTTATCCCAGCATCGTTTGTTTATGGTCATTGTTTACGGTTAACGCAATACGCCGTAAAACGTCGTATATGACTGTCGTAAACGGTCACTGTAAACTGCTGTCGTTTTTCGTCGTAAATGATTGATGTACGGCCGTTTACGGTCGGGCATGAACGACCTGGGTAGCTATGATATATGTATGTTTCGTCATTGATAAATTCTCAGAAACGAAAAACATAGAAAACTAAAAGTTCTTCTCTGATTTATTTCTTCATCACAGCATATATTTCAACAGCTGATAATAGAAAATATTAGAAAAGTCATTACAAACACTGGTAATAACCTGTTCACATTGTTACCCCCCTTTCAAAATTTCGAAAATTCACTTTAAGTACTTTATATTGGAAAGAATGTTTCTCTTGTCGTATGTATTTATATTTTGAATAAATAATTATATGGGTCAACTGAAATGAATGAATGAATGCGACATCTATATTCTAGCTCATCGATAACAGAAAGAAAATGAATCTTTTTAGCATTTCATGGAAAAAAAATAAGTTTAATAAATATTTTTCATATTCTTTTCGTTGTCAATAATAATAAATAATAATTAAATTAATTATGATTCGCTATAGTTTCTTCCGATGACATCTATTCAATCAATGGACTTGATTGGCAATGACAGATTTTCCCAATTTTAAATAAAATCTCATTTGTTAGTTTTATTTAATACGCATTAATAATCATATTCTTTAATAAACAATGTATGATCAAACTATTTTGACAAGTAATCATCGATTATTGATGACTAATAATAAATCTTGTTCATCATCTTCAACAGTTTTCAAACGACAATCATCAGGTCATATTCCATTACTCAGTACAAATGTTCGTCCATTATCAAACATAACAAATATTGCACAACAATCTAATATCAATAATAAATCAAAACGTAAAATAGATGAATATCAAAATGATTCATTTGAATATGATGTTCCTACAAGTAATTATGCATCTGTACAAAAACAACAACAACAACTTCAAACACAATCATCATTAATAAAGCGTGTTAAACAAGAACATTCATTTACAGCAGTTTGTTTTTCTTATTTTAAAATAATATATCTTAAATATTTTTTTGTTCATAATAGAAAATAAAAATCTTACCAGAAGATGAATCTTTACGATTAGTAACATCAACTATTCAAGGTATGAAACATTGGACAAATAAACATTTATCATATCCAATTTTATTTGAAATTTTTGGTAAATTTAAATTTTTTTAATTAAAATATTATTTTCATATTTTTTTTGTTAAAGGTAAACTTGATTCTCAAATAACATCATTATCATCAACAAATACACGTCAATTTTCATTAATTGATGAAAAAGATCGTATTGAATGTATATTTGCTGAAATGGATCAATCATTTTCTAATATTGATCGAGATGTTCAACTTCGGTAGAATATTTAATTAAATTAATTAATTTTATATATTTATTTTGTTAAATTTAGTGTTATTTGTCGATTAGAATCTGAAAGTAATATAGTTCGTTGTATAGCCATTCGTATAGCAGATAAAGATGAATGGCATGAACGACGTTCTATTATTAAACAATGTGATCTACAATTAAATAATGATGATATTAATTCAAAAAAATTTAAACGATATAATAAAAACTTTCAGAAATAATTTATTTTTGTTACAAAAAAAAAAAAAAAAGTGTTTTACTTATTAGATATTTATTTCTAATTAGTCATACGATTGTCATTTATTTTATTTATTTAGTCAGATAGAATAGAAAAATAAATTTTTTATTTGATTTTTTTTTTTTGTTTTTCTAGATGCCTGATGATAAAGAAGCACCTGTATATACAGCTGAAAAAATTTTACTTAAACGAATACGAAAAGTAAGAATTAATGATAATTTAATATGAAAAAAGACAAATTGAATTGTATGAAGGATTGATAGTTCAGAAGATTTTTGCTAAAACTGAATAACTTTAGGAATTGCTTAGTGTAAAAGAGACAATAAAGCGCTGAAATTTTTGAAGAGAAACAAAACATTTTTCACGAGTCGAACACTAATTCGAAATTTCAACTCTTGAATTATTGATTAATTATCTTGTGTAAAAGAAAAAGATTCGAGTATTCTTAGCATTTACATAATGAATCTTCTCTACAACTCTAATAAAGTTCTAACTTCGGACAAGAGATCGATCTGAACTAGAGTTCTTCAAAACGATATACACACTAATTAAGGAAATTCTATCCAAAATAATAAGTGTATATTGCAACATAGTCGGTATCAAAGCTCCGCGGAACAGTCCCGCACCATAGCTCACACTTACGCGCCTGTTTCTGTTTTCCCTACATGAAAGTACCGCATCAATACTCAGTGTCATTCGATAGTCTATCAGATTATGAGATGAAAAAGTGTATGTGTGCTTCGTGCAACTTTAGATGGCTTCGCATAAGCGTACGCTATAGCGCGGGATTGTCCCACGGAGCTCTAGTCGGTATATTATTCAACGAATGATATCGACTTTTGCATACAGTATCTTATGAAATGTGTATCGAATAAGGTAGTTAATCAGCCATAATAGTCATGTGCATAATTCGAAATTGAATTTTTTTCTTGATAAATAACTTACTTGAAGATTGTCATTACATGAATATATACTTGAGAAGGGCAATACATTCTTATTATTTAAAGACAAAAGATAGTTTTTAATTGATTGAAAAGAATAAATTTTATATTTTGTAAATGTCTAGATTCTGTATGTTTACGATTATCATTGATTAGTTTTTTTTTCCCTTCATAATTTCATTTGAGTCGAAACAATTCTCTTGTAATTATATTGAGACAAAGATCTAACAATTAAAATATCAATGGAACAGATTCGATGCAAAGAAATGTTTGATTTATTATAAATTAAAATAATATTATAAAAAAAAAATTATTTGTTCTAGGGAAAAGTTGAATATCTAATTAAATGGAAAGGATGGGCTGCTAAGTAAGTTATTTAATTATTTTATATTAATTTAATTAATATATTTATAATTTTAGATGGAATACTTGGGAACCTGAAAAACATATTTTAGATAAATTACTTATTGCAGATTTCAATAACAGGTAAATCAAAAACAAAAAGAAAACGACGAAAAATAAAAATTACAATGTTTTGTTTTTTTTTCTTCTATTATTAAATCTTTTATAGAAATCGAAAACGTCAAAAAAGTAAATCTTTAGTTCGTAATAGTGTAAATAAAAGTCAAACAACAATAAAAACTCGTTCAAATAATTCCGTAAGAATACGTCGTTTACGTAGTTCAACATCATCAGATATATCAACATCAGCTGTTGTTTCTCCTCCAACAATAAATGATGAAAATAATGATGATGATTTTTTATCAAAGAAAAAATCTGATAATGATCGAGTTGAAGTTTATAAACTTCGATCAAATCGAAATGAAAAACTAGAAACGAATGAAAAAGATTTATCTGACTTATTAAAAGAATCTGATCATGAAGAAGAAGAAGAAGAAGAAAAAGCAGAAACAATTGTTAGTCATACACCAAAATTTGATGAATCTATAAGAGAATTTTTATGGCAACCAAAGGAAATTTCACCGTCAACAACAATAACTGAAGTAACGGATCAAAGTGGTGTAACCGTTTTAATTCGAGAATTTAATGATATTCCAACATCAAATATAAATAGACCAGCACGTTTTCTTGGATATGGAAATGGAGGTCGTGGTGGAAGACATTGAAAATAAATAATTGTCAATTTTTGTTTTTTGTTTTACCGGTATTTTTAATATGTTTCTGTTTAAAAATCTATTGTTTTTCTCATTCATTGTGTATATGTTCAATATGTGTGTATGTCTTCGTGTAGAGAAAAAAAACACGGCAGTGACAGTCATGAAGATTGTTTTTTTTTTCGTTTTTTGTCTTTTAGTATATAAACTAGAATCTCTGTCTTTTTAACACAATAATTTTGTGTATTTATTAAGTTGATTCTTAATTAAAAATTGATAAAATAAATTCATTGTTTTTAAATTATATTTGTTTTAAACGATGACAAAAATTTAATTGATTATGTAAATTTTTCAAAAAATAAAATGAAATTTTCTTAAGATTTATTTCATCTTATGTGTATGTCCCATATGAATTCTAGATAGAAGTTATTTTATTAGAATATTTTTATACAAATATCACCGATCTTCTAGTCTTACGAAAACTTTAATCTAAATAATTTGAGAAACATATGGGCTGGTGTTGGTATAGATATAAAAGTGGATCTTTCTACAGCTCGACCATTCAGTCTGGATCATGCATAAGTATAATATAAAAATTCCAATATTTCAATTTTGATTCAATCAAAAAATGAATTGATCTTTTTTGTTGATGAGAGATATCTATGTCAAGTGTTATTTCTCATACAGAGAAAATCAGTAAATACATACTTGTTTGAAATATTATTATTGTCTGGGATAAAAAAAAAGATGTAATTCTGTTGCCAAGTCAAGCTCGTCAGATTTAAAACCTTTGAACCTGAATCCAATTAAATGATACATTGATATTCTCAATGAAATTTTCTGATTGTTATTGGATAGCCGCCCCGAAAATTTGACATCCTTTTTTTTTCATTTGGTGATTAGCACACTCTACACTAGAGTCCGTTGGATTCAAAGTTTTCGAACTTGGATCCAACCAGGTTTCTTTCTAGCCCGACGAACTCTATTGTCAAGTAAGAAAAACATAGGTGGGCGTAAGTCATAAAATATTGTTCTAGTTTTAACTAAGATAAGAGTAAGAAAAAATCTAAATAATGCTTATTAATGGTATCACATTGATTTATAGAGTAGTATTTTAAAATCAGTTTGTTTAAAAGATAACGCATACAGTATTTTTAATTTTAAACATGAAACATTGCATTTTACAATAACATTAAGGAACACATGTATAGTTCTGTAGTCCAGCTAATAATGATATTTCAAACGAGGATTTGCTTGTTTTATCATCTATATGGAGTGTAAAACTTTAGAAAGATGTCTATCATGAATAAAAAAAACAAAAGTTCATCAATTCGAGTGATCTGAAGTAGAGAGAGATTCCAATTTTTTATAATATACTTATGTTTGACTTAGTTTGTACAAGTTAAAAAGCTAAATTGACTTTTATAGTATGAAAAATTTTTTGAAGAATTTCTTTCGTTACAAGAAGCTTTTTATTGCAATAATCGATTCAGTATTTTTAATGAAACACTTGAAATAATTCCTTTGTTAATCTTGAAAATCTGTTGGAATTCTAAAATCAATTATTTCTTCATCGAATCTTATTATGAATTCTTGATAAGTTTCTTTGAAAAAACAAATCACTTACTATTCATAAGTCTCGAATTGATTTAACCATTTCAATCATCCTAACACAATTATTGAGTCAACTATAGTAAAAAAACAAATTCAATGAATATTCTAATTGAATTAAAAGAGAAAAACATTTTATTTGAATTATTCTTTCGTAAATTTAAAAATAGCATATTTGATTTTGACTATTTTAGATGCTCGAAGAATTACCGAATGAAATATTTTTTCAAATATTTTCTTTTATTGAATTAACTGAACTTTATCAAGCATTTTCATCATTGAATTATCGATTTGAATGTTTATTATACAATAATTTTACGCCGTTATATGCTCGTTTAGTATCAAATATAACATTACCATTAGATAGATTTCTTTTTCGAATAAGTAAACTTTTATTAATAAATTTATCTCCAAATAATGTTTTATTATTAATTGAAAATTCAAATTTACCTCGACTTCATTATTTAAATATAGAATCAACTAATAATGATTATTTTGGTCAACCAACAAATATTTTAATTCATAAAATTCTTTCTCTATCAAAATTATTTAAATGTCGAATAAAATTATCACCAACTCTTTATATTGTTGATAATCAATTACTAGAATCTCAAACAATTAAACATATGAATTTAAGTATGATAACACTTGATATGTTATTTAATCTATTAAAACATGTACCGAAACTTTGTTCATTAAATGTTTGGCTTAATTCAAATGGAAGAATATTTGATAGTCGAACTTATAATCAATATAATTGTTTAAATTTAAAAAAATTAACTATTGGTCTTCATAATGATATTAAATTTGAAGAAATTTCATTTTTATTAGAACATATGCCAATATTAAAATCATTTGAAATAGTTGGATCTGTATGGGATCGTGGATTTTTAAATGAACAAAAATGGAAAAATATTCTTTTAGGTGAAAATTTATTTCCATTATTAAATAAAATTAAAATAAATATTTATATTCGTTATACAGTTAATGTACAAAATGTTAAAACAATTTTATCACATTTTAATCAAGAAATTTTTCATAGAACTAATTTTGTAATTACTCATGATTATATGTTTTGGTTTTATTTAACTTGTTTTTGGAATAGTTGAGTTAAGTATTACTACTTACTCTACTCTACAGGATGCCTCAAAAGTCATATCAACAAAGTAAAATTGACAAATGAATCATTTCTGTAAGAAATATAAAGACTTTGTGAAAAAAATATTTTTAGTGAGTTTTTAATCAAGATCTTTCTAAATTTACTTAGTAATTTACTCAAAATTTAATAAATAAAAACAGTTCTTATTTGATATAAACAAATTAACTATTTGTCTTAAAAATAATAAGGATAGACATATTCGGATCAAATTAAAGTTGTCATCGCTAAACTAACAAATTTAAAATGTAGACTGTTGTTAGCATATCTTGACAGAGATATTCGAATTTTAAAATATTTACAGTGTAGGTAATGTACTCCACAAAGCAAATTTCAGCAGAACTTTTTTTCGTTATATTTGGATAGAGATCATTAAGTAGAATGCAAAAGAAAAAAGTATGTTTCAAATTAATGAAAAAAATATTTTACGAAAAAAAGTTCAAGACACCATTATTTTTAAATACAAGAAGAAATAGATTTAAAGTTCTGTTTTCTTTTAATTATAAGTACGTTATACATATTGTAAATATCTTAAAATTCGAATATCTCGGTTCGGATACAACAACAATAACCTATATTTTGAATTTATTAGTTTGATGATAAATTTTAATATGATATGAATATGTCTAACGTTATTTACTTACTATGAAAACATTTCCATTGTAAGTACAAAAGACTTTGAACAAAAAATATAAAAAAATAACATCTTGAAAGCATTGTAAAATTTTCTACAATTTATAACAAAGTTTCGAAAGTATTTCATAGACTTTGTAAATATTCATGACAAATTAGTGTGATAGAAAAATTTATAGAATGATAATAAGATATAAATTACACACATATAATTATGAGAGCAATATAAATAGAACATCAAGATACGAGCATAGTTTAGCTATTGAAATGAACATAGTAGACGTTCTCTCTAGAAATTATTAACTTTGTCAAGAGAAGATGTCACATTTTTATCTCTAAACATGTGGTATGAAAAAAAAAAAAATACTAGAAGATGCACTGTGAAAAGTTCTACAATTTTCATAAGGCTGATTATTTTATAGTTGCATTTTTTGTTGTCAAAATGGACAATATTTTCAGCGACCAAATTTCGATTGTGCAAAACCTGGTTGCACAGAACTTAGCCCATTTTGAAATCAAATTGTGCGACTATAAAATAAGCAGTCTTATGAAAATTGTAGAAATTTTCACGCTGCATCTTCTAGTATATTTTGTATTTTAATACAACGTGTTTAGAGATTAAAAACAAAGATGAAATATAAAGTGTGAATGGTTAACCTGGGTCACTCGTTCTTATTATTATTAATTTAAAGATAATAATTTATATTCTTTTGTTCGTTGTCTCGAACGCTTTTTCTAATCACTGATATACTCTCAGATTTAGATCAATTTTATAAATTGTATAGTTATTTTATTTGATTTACTAAACAGCTTCTTTTTATTATGATGTATCAAAATAATAGGTAAAACATTTGAAATTCTTTTATCTATGTGTTTTCATTTTTATAGTATTATTCGAATTAAATTAATATTATTTTCATATTTAATTTCATAGAGACAATATTAGAATGATAATTTTTCTTTCTTTAAAACAAATAGTACAGAAAAAAAAAGCCGGCATTTGAAACTAGACATATTCATATGATAAACAACGTATGATTTTCAAAATGGGAAAAAATTGATTCATATTGATAGTACGAAAGTTAAATAGTATTTATTTGATTAGAATTTATTAAATGTATGATTATGTATATTTAGTATTAATTAGTATGATGACTTTTGTGACATCCTGTAAATGAATCCGAAAAACAGGAAAAATACATTTCTGTATAGATTTTTGTTTGGAACATGATAATAGCGACTTTTTTTAATAATAAAACTATTTATCTTATAGCTCTATTTTTTAATATTAAGTAATTCTATTGAAACTTACTAGATATGTCTTATATTTTCAGATTAATCAATCATTTTAAATTTTTAGACTATAAACATCTCTGTATATCTTCTATTCGATTATTTTCATCAAGACTTTTCATCATCTAACATCTCTGAAATGAGTTTTTTTCTCTCTCTCTCTATTTATATATAGAATATATTGTTTTCATTACTGTTAAATATTTAATTGTTGTACGCAATGGTATACGTCCATTCCATTATTCATCACGAATGTTTAATTGACAAAGCATCGCTTTAAATAAACTAATAATATTCGTATTAATTAGAATTTATATGC